TGATATGAAATTTTGTGTAAAATTAATTACAGATTTTATAATTAATAAAGTTTAATTTGTGTTATAATGGTATAAGTTGGATAAATTTTTAATTAAAATATTATTACTAACATTATTTTTAAATTTATTTAATTAAAAAATTTTAATCAATTTATACAATTTACCTAATGAAACATGAATCCCTTTATTTGTTATCTACGAACATCTTTCCCCTGCTTTTTCTAAGGTAAGCATTTTCCAAGAAACCCCATTCTTTTGTTTATGGGAGTAGTTACCAGCTAGAAAGACTCCCAAGCATGTTCCAGGAAAACCATTGGCTGCCTTTTTCTAAGCATTTTCCAAGAAACCCCATTTTTTTGTTCATGGGAGTGGTGACCAGCTAGAAAGACACTCCCAAGCATGTTCCAGGAAAACCATTGGCTGCTTTTTTCTAATCATTTTCTAGGAAGGAGGAAACCATTTTTTTGGGTGTTGCTACGAGGATCATAAGTAGTTTTTGGTAAGGAAACCATTCTTCATTGTTTCTATTATGACATAAAAGTTCTAATTTTGTGCAATTTGGTCCCTCAGGTTTTGATTTGATCAATTCAGCCCATCATTTTGCAGAGAATTTAAATCTAACTCAAGACAGTTTCAATTTATAATAATTTCCCCCTTCAAGTTTCAATTTCATGCAATTTGGCCCACTCTTTTTTAAAAATTTCCAAATCAAGCCAATTCAGTTTTAAATTTTACTTTGTTCTTTCTTTTCTTTTCTTTTCTTTTTCTTACTTTTCTTTTCAGTCGTCCCTACTGAGTTCCAGATTTTCAAACCCTCTCATTCACGTCCACGCATGTTAAGTTTGTTTCAATTAAGATTTTTCACTTAAATTTTTTTCCAAATAAGTTGAATAAATTTCCCAATTGTTAAAATATGTATCCCTACATTATTATGCAAGGTGACCAACTTATGCGCTTCCTTACCCGTAATCATATTGGGACTCTACCATTTTAGGCAATTCATCCAAGACTTTGTTTTTTTTTTTTTCAATCATTAAAACTTAATTTTCATTTATTTGAATTTTTCATTTATTCAACAAATATCTTAATAACAAATCAATATCACGTAAGTAAATCAATAGTGATTAACATTTTAAGTCCTTTGATGACCAAAAAAAAAAAAATTTCAAATCCTTCAAACTAGGAATCACATTTGTTTATGAAGCAAAAATATTTTAAAAAGAGATAAAAACTTTTACTTATGGAATACAAATACCATAGAGAGTGCAATGCAAGTTATGGAAAAACAAGATAAAAGAAAAATAAATGAAGATATATTATACAAGCATTTGATTTCCACCATTCCACTATTGGTTTTATTCTATTTTCTTGGAGAGCAGGACGAGACGGCTGCACGTTGCCAACAACATAAAGGAGAATCATCCTTAACTTCTACTACCCTTCCATGGTAAGTCACACAAACCTTTACTCCTCTTTCTGAGCAGATCCTAGTGTCCCGAGCACTGCAAATATAGAGACAAGAATATGAGTATTTTTTTCCTAAAAAAATCTTAGGAACTTCTAATCAATCATATCAGTTTCACCATTTTATCCAAAAATTAAAAAAAGTAAGAAAGTCGCACCTGCTAATTAACGTGGCTCGACAAATTGGTAGACCTTCTTACCTCCTTGAGCAGAGCACTGGGTCTGAGTTTCTGAAAAAAAATGTTAAGAACTTCTAAATAATCATATCAATTTAAGCATAACATCTAAAAAAACAGAGAGAAAAAGAAAAATCGTATCTGGTAATACTAATCAATGTGGCTGGACAAATTATCAGTTAAAATGACAGAGAAAGCTAGCAGGATATGCAGACGTAGGCCTCCTTCAGCACTACAAATGTTATGGTAAAAAAATAAAAAGAAAAGAATAGGAATCTGACCTTCTTTTTTTTTTTTTTCCTTTAAAGCTAAGACTCCATAACTGAAGACATTCTGAATTTTGAAAATATTAATATATTCTTAATGAACTTTACGAGTAAATTGGCATTTTCATACTTGGACTATAATTTTTTTATACCTTATGAACTAAAATATATTTTTTTTAAGAATATATTTTGAATATTCCATTCACTTCATAATAGAGTAATGACAGGAAGATTAAAAATTTAATATTAATGATGTAATATTATTAAATAAATTAATACATATTTTAAAAAATTAAAAAGAGTTAATCATTAATAGTATATTGTTTACATTTTAATATTTTAAATAATATGATTTATTGATTTCAATTTTCAATTTTATTATTATTATTCTTCAGTGATAATATACGCTTTTAATTCAAATTTTGTCATAGATTAATAGTTATTTTTTTATATTTTAAGAAAAACAAATATTTCTTTCTATTATATTTATAACCTTATCATCATTCTTTAATTTTAATTATTCATCCTTACATAAAAAATCTCTTTATTTTTATTTATTTTTAAGGACAATATAGGTAAAACTTTAACATTTAATATAAAAATAAAATAAAAAAATATCTATCATTCTAGTACAGGGAGAATGCACCTTTGCCCACAAAAGCATATAATAAATTGTTAAGAATTTCTAACTTATAAATTTTGAGTCTCATTATTCACAATCTAGAAAGTATTGAACTATTTAAAAGATTCTTAAATTGAAGAACAACCACTAAATATGAAATGCACTTAACATTTCATATATATATTGACAAAAGTATACATCAATTTCAATTATTAAAAATTATTAGAATCCTACCCTTTAAATTATTTTATTTTATTTTATTTGCATTTGGGCCTTCGAGCCCAATGACGTTAGACCACGTATAAGTATATTCCTCCAGCCTAAGGCATCAATTCGAATCCGACCCCTTACGAATTTGTTCAAAAAAAAATATTTTATTTTATTTAATTAAAGGCCTATTCCTACTTTTTTTCACCTTTTACAAGTTTTCTACTCCTCGCTGATGGCTATAAGGACGGAATTAAGAAAGACAAATGCTAATTCTCCACAATCAAATAAAATATGTCAATGCTTTGTGCTTAAGGGTTGTCGGAAAAGAATGATCTTGTTCCCCTATTGCTACCAAAAAAGAGAATTGCTGGGGATGAGAGTTTGCAAAAAGGCTGAATTGTTGAGTTGCAGAATAGGGGTCGTCACTGTTGCCGCCGGTGAAGAACAAGAATTGAAATTATGGGATGAATTTAATTATTAAATGAAATGATATAATTTAAGAGTTAAGTATCTAATAGTTTTTGAAAATTGAGATTAATATATATATATTTGATTTAAGTTGTAAGATATCTCTATATGAGTTTACACATATCCGAGATCTACCTTTTTTAACCAATTATAATTGGGATATCTCTATATTACTTTAGTACATTCAATTCAAAGAAATTTAAGGAAGTTAAACCAAAACTTAATTTCTTAATTATGCATCAAAGATAAGAGAAAGAAGAGGAGAGCATAGATAGCAAGAAGGAAATGGTGTAGCTGAAAACAGTTGGTAACAACTGGTAATGACAACCACAGGCAAATTGAGCAAACAACAATGAATGGGCCAAAGAACATTTAAAGATGTGTAATAGAAGGGAAAAGAATTCAAAAGTTAAAAGTTAGAATCAATATTGATTAAATTTGAGGGTTGGAATTAAACAATAAAATAAAATAATATGAATAAAATATTTTTAAAAAAATTGACCGAGAAGCAAAGAACCAGAGGCATGTCTTTTTATACAAGAAACGAATGTGTAATATAGAGAGCAAGAGGCAAAGATTTGTTTCTTTGTCCAGGAAAAGAATGTGTAACGTAAAGAGCAAGAGGAAAAGACATGTATGTCTCTTTGTCCAAGAAAAGAAAACGTGAGAAGAACCCAACATTTTAATTAATAACATCGAATTTCTTTGCAAATATTTGTGTGATTGAAGAAGTGAAAGAAAAGGGATGGGATTAATGTTGATTTACGCTCATATCTGGTTAATATACAAATGTCTAAGAGAACAAAGAATTTCAAAAAAAACAAGTAGTTTTTACTTTTCAGTACTTGGCCAAGAATGATTATGAATTTATTCGTTTGTCCTACATTCAAATGAGTCCTAATTTTGTCACACCAATAAAGAGTCCAATTTAATTTGACACATAAAAAAAAAAGAAAAAAAAAGAAGAGGAAAAACAACTTAGATGGATCATTTTAATTAAGATAGAGATGACCCATTTTTGCAACTAAAAGGTTTGGGAGATCTTACAAAAAAGATAGTAGAAACACAAAGTGCATGATATTTCCTTTGGTCTTCAAACTTGTGAAATTAGTTTTAATTCTCCCAATTGCAACTGCAAGTGTTTAAAGAGTATTTTCAACCATGAATGTTGTGAAAAGTGAATTGTAGAACCGCATGGAAGGTGAAAGGGTGAATGATAGCTGGGTGACTTACATTGAATCTAAAACATTTGATTTTATTGATAAAGATAAAATTTTTGAAAGATTTTAAAAAATGAAATCTTGTGAAGGTCAATTATAGACTATAGATTTTCTTTTATCGTTTTATCTAAAGTTTGTTATTTAACTACTTTTATATTAAAAGAACATATTTAGTTAAATTAAAAAATTATTTTGATATATATATATATATATATATGTATATATATTTATGGTTGTGCCCCTAATTACAAATCCTAGCTATGCCATTGATCAGAAAATATTCATTACAACTTGCTTTTTGGAGGAGAGTATTATCTCAGAGAATACATGGAATCATTAACAATACAAAGGATGCGGCTCCCATTTTTTAATTAGATACATAGATTTCTACCGTCACTAAGAAACTTTTAACAGAAAAATAGCAATCAGGCAGCACCACAGAGAAAAACAAATCAATCAGACTCTAATTTTGTGCCATTACCTATTTTCAAGAAAAAAAAGACTCTAATTTTGTGCCATTACCTATTTTCAAGAAAAAAAAGACTCTAATTTT